AGTCAACCGCCTGGTCGACCGGTGTTTTGATAAAGTTTCAAAAAACGTCCGTTGGAACACTTGATATCAAATGGACTTTTTACTCAAATTTGGTGAAAAATTTGATGCACCATTGGAGATACTCTTAACAATTTATCTTTTTATTTTCAAGGCAACTTAAGAGGTGCTTTTGTGCAAGATTGGGGAGTTTACTTCAACTTCGTTTGGAATGAACTTTTTTAATATGACTTTTTTATTAGTATTTTAACTTGATTAAAAAAGTTTTGTTTGAAATAATTTTTATTTTTTTTGTAATTAATTTGATGATTGTGAGAAAAAAAATAAAATAATTATGATTTGAATGTGACATTTTATCTTATTCATTATTGTATATATATATATTTATCTTTATTAACTATTAGCCAAGAAATTGTATCTCAAACATGAAAAATTGTTGGTTAGTCTAGGGCAAGGGTGTAAATTTGGCCCGGCCCAACCTATGTAGGCTCGGGCTTGGCCCGACCCGTGTTGGGTCGTGCAGGCTTCAGCCAAAATTTGGGTCGGGCAGGCCTACGAACCAGAAAATTAGGCCCTGGCCCGGGAGGTATTCGGGCCTGAACATTTTTAAATTTTTTTTTCTATTTTTTCTACCAAAATTTTATTTTTTGCCACTAAAAATGACACTAGGCCTCGGGTCAGGTTTTGAATGAGCCTTAAGCAGACCGATGGCCTGAGCCATGGACTTGGTCCACAAATTAGTTTGGACTTCAAAATGACAACACAGGCCCAGGTATAGAGTCCTGGGCTAGGCTTGGGCTCGAGCCTAATTGGGCCGGCTCCACCCTAGACCGTGGGCAGGTTTCGGGCCACCCATTGGCCACGAGCCATTTTTACACCCCTAATCCAGGGTACCACATGACCATACCCTTTACCAATCACAATTTACCATGACCCTTTGTTGGTAAAAATTTAATTCAAACCCAATCAACAGTGATTGACCTACAAACTTAAGCTAATTTTCAAATAAAAAAAAATATATCAGATTTGTAGTTGAGGCCTCATTTGGCAAGTGGCTTTTTTAGTCAAAAAGTCACTAAAAAAACTAAAAAGCCAACAACCCATACCAAAAAGTCAAAGATTCTCTTTTCTCTTTACTTTTTGCACATCTTTTCGTAAAAAGTCAAAAAGTCATCCCAAACATACTATTTTTTTTTAGCTCATATTTTAGCCAAATAGCCAAAAAATACTAAATTAGTCTGTTCCCAAACGAGGCCTGAGTTCTATGCCTTAAACAGATTGAAAGCTTCCTTGGAGGTAAATAAGCAATAAAGAGATAGAACATAAAAAGAATATGTATTAATTCGAACAAATTGTCACTTGTCACTAGTTACAAGAACCTAAACAAGAATAAAAAATTGAAGAAATACATCAATCGATAGAAAGAAGAAAATTGGGTTGAAAAATCTACTTAATTTAATCTACTTCGAAAATGATTGATTAATTGATTGATTTTTTTTTCATTTTTCAAGTCCTTCTTTTATACTTGCTTGGACGTTTCATGTTGTACCCATCAATCCATGATCTTCATTAATCTTTGCTCCACTTAACCATATCTTATCTTCATAGAATCCATGATCTCCCTTGATCTTTACTCCACTCAACCATATCCCATTTTCATAGGAATTGCTTGCAGATTTTGTACTTTGACTTGATATTGATCCCCCGATTTTAGCATATGGTTTCTAATTGATTTTAGCAAATATCTTTATTGGCTTTTATTTTATCTTTTCAAGCCACATTACTAGCATATTTGTCACGCCATGTCAGTATACTTATCGATAGAAATAATAATAATAAAAGCAAATGTGGTCAAGATTATTCTTAAAAATAGTCTATCGTCTCAATTGACAGGCCATAACTAAACTTGGTTATAATCAACAGACCATAATCGACAAAAAAATAAAATGTAGTGCAAACATCTTTCATATTCTCTAGTCACCTAATACAAATTCGTAAAATCCTATTGGAGCGCCAATAACTTCTCCTCAAACACCACTTTTGGTCCTATTTGAGGAGTCAGTTAAAAGTCAAAATTTAATTTTTAACTCATTTTAAATCACATCACCCCTTATATTTTTGGATAAACTACACTTACACCTCTTGAGAATTGGGTTTAAGACATATCACCCCTGACGTTTGGGAAATTACACTAACCCTCTGTCATTGTAATTATTTAAACGGAATAAAGACATTGAACTCATGCACTTTTTTTTCTTTGCTTTTTTTTGCTTTACTTTTTCTTTTTTTTTCGCCTTTCCTTTACTTTTTTTTTTTAAATGTAATTTCCTCTATTTTTATATTAGGAGTTGTTGCTTTTTATACAAGTAGGGGGTTTGTGAAATGAAACTATTAACCACATAAGTGAAAATATAATTTCCAAAACGTCAAGAGTGAATAGTAATTGAACCAAACCTCAAGGGATTAATGTAATTTACCTTATATTTTTTATACATTATTTTAAAAAAAATTTAAAAAATAAAAAAATAATAATTTTTAACCACCTCCCCCACGCTAATGTCTATGACGTCTAAAATGGGCGCCATAAAATATAGCCGCCACATGAAATCATTTTCTTATTGGAAGTTGGAAACTCTATTGTACCAAAAAGAGCTTGGAAAATTATTAACAATGAATATACGTGGTTGAGATTAATTTTAGTGTATTATAAAATACTGTAGATTGTACATTAATAATCTTAGATAAATTTTAAAAATTTATAGTCTCCTTGTTTTCTTATGGCCATGGCTTCTGTCCAGTCCAGAATCGGACTGGACCGTACTGTTGGACCCGTGAGGGCTCACCACGGGTCCCATTTTGATAATCTGAACCGTTCAATGTGTAGAACTCGTCGAGTATTATATGCCTATAAAAGATCACGTTGATCGGATATCGTTAGCTATGTGAACAAAACAGTTTTTTATCAACCATTAATTTTTTCACCGTCTATTTTTTTTATACAAAACTGATTTGATCACATAACTATCGATATCCAATCAACGTGATTTTTTATAGACATGTAGTACTCGACGAGTTCTACACATTGAATGGTTCAGATTTTCAAAACGGAACCCGTGGTAGGCCCCCACAGACCCAACAACACGATCCAGCCCGATCCCGGACTAGACAGAAGCCGGACCCTTTTCTTATTTTGTTAGGGGCTGTTTCGAATAGAATCTCTAAAAAGTAATTTTTCAAGTTGTTTTTTAACCCAATTCTTTTTCTTCTTCTTCTTTTTTTTTTTTTTTTTTTTTTTTTTTTTGGACTAAAAAAAACATTTAACCCAATTCAAAGTTGTAAGTATCTTATAAATGAATTTTTTTTTTTTAAAAAAATTTATCAATGAATAACTTTAGGGAAAATCACAAGTATACCTTTTCAAAAAAAATAAAAAAAATCAAATCAAATCAGTGGTAAATCTTAACAATTTTAATAATTAAACTCATAATTTTTTTTATTAATCTCTAAATTTTTTGTAATAATGCCTTTGAAGTGTAATTTTCTCATATCTTTAAGGTTTTATTAAATAATAAAATTTAAAATAACTAACTATGGATACTAATGCAATATATTTACAATTTTACATCTACACTTTTGGAAGGTGTGACGAAGGAATATGGATAAATTTGAAAATTATTTGGCAATTATTCTTTTATGATTGTTTAACGGCTATTTTATGAACATTGTTGAAAAGAAAAATAAAATAAAATAAAATAAAAACATAACAAAACTTCTGTGTTATATACGGAATAAACTCAAAGAGTACTTACGTGTAGGTCCTAATAAGTGAACTTATTGTCTAACAGGTCCTATGGGAAAAAATTGTTATTAAAAAAGTCACTAATTGTAAGTCTTAACGACAATTTATAAAAATCATGACAAAAAAAAAGTCACTAATTGTCAATTTTTAGTGTCATATATAAAAAAATTGTCAACAAAAAATTATTTTTAATGACAATTTTACCAAAATTTATTTTCAATAGGACTTGATGAGAATTAAGTCTAACTATTAGAATCTATCAATAGTTTATCCAAAACTGAATCAAAACAATAAGGAAAAAAAAAAACACTTTATTTCCCCCTTATCTTTTATCTTTCCTTTTGTTTTTCCTTTACAAATTCATAACCCAAACATATGACAATTTCAACATTATTGAAATTATCCTCTTTCCTTTTGTTTTTCGTTTACAAATTCATAACCCAAGCGCATGATAATTTTAACATTATTGAAATAAGAATAATGCCTTAATCATGGTTCAAAAAAGTGGTGTATCTAATTTTTTAAACACCCACTCACATTGTGATACCCACACATGTAAAAAAATTAAGTACATAATTCATGTTTCTTTTTAGTTAGATATAACCAACAAATTTTTGGCTAGCTCAATTTTGCGGCTTTATTATGCAAAAATGTTGGAGGTCCTAAAACAGGGTAGATTGAGAGTTTTAAAAAACACAATACTAATAGCTCTAATGAGCTGGAGATATTAAAAAAAAGAAAGAAAAAAAAAACAGTGACACCCATCACATCATGGGAGAGTCAGCCTATTAGTGCTACCCATAGTGCTCATTTTTTTATGTTCCCAGGAATTTTTGGGTCTTAAAAATTCTATCAATTTTTTTTTCAAATATCTTACATGAGTGTGAGACTCACATGGAATCCACATTGTGTAGGTTCCACACCTATATGAAACATTTAGTAAAATTTTTAATAAAATATTTAGAATCTCTAGCATTTCTTCTTTATTATGTGCCATTATTGCTCACATATGTTAACTAGGGGTGTCCGCGGTTCGGTTTAGGACGGTTTGCGGTTCGGTTTGGACCCGCCCGCATCTATGCGGTTTGAGGAAAAATCAACCCGCAACCGCCCGCAATGCGGTTTGCGGTTTGTGCGGATAGGGTTCGCGGGTGTGCGGGCGGTTGCGGGCGGTTTGCGGATTGAACTTTTTTAAAATGCCAAAAAAAAATAAAAATGCATTAAGTTACATTCATCCAAAACCAAAACGCAATTAAAAAAAAAAATTTGTCAAACTTAAACTTCATTCAATACAAACCCACGAAATAAAATTGAAACACTTCTAAAATATCAAACTTCATCTTCATGAATCATATCCAATTCAACTTTAACAAATTCCAATTCCATGCATTTGGTTGATGAACCCTACACAAACAAATTGAAAAAATATAAACTTTAATCTTCAATTATAAATAGTAAGAACTGAAAAAATAAACAAATGTCTATATATTACAAGATTGATTGCGGGAGATTGAACACTATCCTCCATTTAAACTGAATTACAAAAATACAATCACAGAATCAATTTTACAGACAGATTAAATAAACAGATAGAACAAACAGATTATTCTATAATCAATTTTACAAACTAGGGGATTACAAAAATACTATCCTATCCTCCATTAAATAAACAGATTCTACTGATTGATTAAATAAAAGAAACAAATTCAACTAAGACACAGACAGATTACATAATCTAAATTAAATAATCTGAATTCCAAAAATTAAATAAAAATTATATGGCTGACTCAAACAGAATTAAATAATCAGATTCAAACAGCAATTAAACACAAAAACAAAAACAAAAATTAATCAAAAATTAAACAGATTCAAACAAACAGATTTAATAGATTCCAAAAATTAATCAAAAATTAATCAAAAACAGATTCCAAAAACAAACAGATTTAATCAAAAATTAAACAGATTCCAAAAATTAACCAAAAACAAACAGATTCAATAGATTTAAATAAAACAAACAGATTCCAAAAATTAAATAATCTGAATTCCAAAAATTAAATAAAAATTATATGGCTGACTCAAACAGAATTAAATAATCAGATTCAAACAGCAATTAAACACAAAAACAAAAACAAAAATTAATCAAAAATTAAACAGATTCAAACAAACAGATTTAATAGATTCCAAAAATTAATCAAAAATTAATCAAAAACAGATTCCAAAAACAAACAGATTTAATCAAAAATTAAACAGATTCCAAAAATTAACCAAAAACAAACAGATTCAATAGATTTAAATAAAACAAACAGATTCCAAAAATTAAATAATCTGAATTCCAAAAATTAAATAAAAATTATATGGCTGACTCAAACAGAATTAAATAATCAGATTCAAACAGCAATTAAACACAAAAACAAAAACAAAAATTAATCAAAAATTAAACAGATTCAAACAAACAGATTTAATAGATTCCAAAAATTAATCAAAAATTAATCAAAAACAGATTCCAAAAACAAACAGATTTAATCAAAAATTAAACAGATTCCAAAAATTAACCAAAAACAAACAGATTCAATAGATTTAAATAAAACAAACAGATTCCAAAAATTAAATAATCTGAATTCCAAAAATTAAATAAAAATTATATGGCTGACTCAAACAGAATTAAATAATCAGATTCAAACAGCAATTAAACACAAAAACAAAAACAAAAATTAATCAAAAATTAAACAGATTCAAACAAACAGATTTAATAGATTCCAAAAATTAATCAAAAATTAATCAAAAACAGATTCCAAAAACAAACAGATTTAATCAAAAATTAAACAGATTCCAAAAATTAACCAAAAACAAACAGATTCAATAGATTTAAATAAAACAAACAGATTCCAAAAATTAAATAATCTGAATTCCAAAAATTAATAAACTAAGATCAAATCAGAGATGAGATATCAGATTCACCTGTGATGTGAAGTAGATCGGCTGTGCAGTGTTCAAAATCGGTTGTGCGATGATGAAAAAAATCAGAGATCACCTGCGAAGAGTAGATCGGAGATGAAAAAAAATCATAGATGAAAAAAATCTGTTCCTTTTCTGTTGTTCATCCACGATCGAGAGAGAGAGAGAGAGAGAGATTGAGAGAGAGAGCTCACCTTTGAAGCAGATCGGCTGTGTGATGATAAAAAAATTCAGAGATCACCTGCTAGATCACCTGTGAAGTAGATCGGAGTCGGAGATGAAAAAAATCAGTTTTCTATTGTTCATCCACAACAAATCAACGATCGGACAACAAATCAACGATCGGGAGAGAGAGAGACAGAGATTGAGAGAAATAGAGTTCACCTGTGAATGAATGAAGTAGATCGGCTGAGAAGGAGAGTGATCGATCGCCAATCGGTGTGTGTGTGCACACTGCTGAACCGAGGAGAAGAGAGTGAGGAAGAGAGTGAGATGTGACTCAGAGAGAGAGTGAGTGAGTGAGGAGGAGGAGAAGCCGATTAGGATTAGATATTAGGGTTTTTTTTTTCCTTTTGTTTTGTTATATGAGTGAGTTGGTGAGTGAAAGAAATATGGACGGTTAGATTTGGTTTGGAAGGGAAAAAAAAAAAAAAAATTAAATTAAATGCGGGCGGGTTGGGCGGGTGCGGTTCAAACCCGCAACCCGCCCGCAACCCGAAATTCATATAAAATCCAAACCGCACCCTACCCTAATGTGTTTGCGAAACCGCCCACATGCGTGCGGTTCGGTTCGGGTAGGGCGGTTTGGGCGGGTCGGATGACCCTATGCCCAGCCCTAATGTTAACCCTTCTAAGTAAAATGCATAATTCATTCTGTCTCTCTCTCTCTCTAGCACTTGTGTCCTTCGAAGCTTTTGGGGAAGTATTTGAATCCTTTATTTTATTTTGAGAATTTTTAGTGTTGTATCTTAGTTTTGGAGGAGTACAAATCGATTTAAACTTGTTGGGATTGCTCGTTCACGTTTGTTTACGTTGAAAAGTTATTTGGGAGCTTAAAAATCTTGTTCGGGAGTAGTGTCGACACTTGTCTTTTGTTTTTGGCCTTAAGAGTTGACACCAATCTAGAAGGGTCGACCCTTGTGGGTTGTTGAATCTGGAAGTTGCTAGCTATTTTTTGGTATCGACACCAGTCTGGGAAGGGTCGACACCTTGCCTGTTACACTTTTTACTTTTCTGTCTGAAGGATTGACCCCTGTGCTCGAAAGGTCGACACATGAGTATAATTTTCATCTTTTTGGGTTGGTTTGGGCCCTACTTTTGAGGGTTTTTGACTTGTCCTTTTTATTTGACTTTAGGGCAATTCTCTACTACTATAAATAGACCTAAACCACTTTCCTCTCATTACCTTTTCTCTTCTTTTCCTCTCAAATCGTGATTTCTCTCTTCTCTCTCTAAGACTTGACTTTTCGCACCTAGATCTCTAAATCTACTCACCTAGAGTGATCTTTTCACCATGGTCCTTTGAGATTAAGTGTAAATCTTGTCAAGAACTTCGTTTTGATCCAAGTAGAAGTTGGTTTTGACATATTTGGAATTTCAACCTTGTTTTGCTCATCTTCTCTTCTAAGCTTGAGATAAGGATTTTCTTTGAATTATATATATGTTTTTGCAAGATCTAGATGATTTTCGAAATCATCATTTGATTAGTTTTGAAAATTGATTGTCGATTCAAGAAGATGTGTGATCTTGAAAGTGGGTTTACTTTCTTTTCCTTTAAAAATAGAAATTGAGAGTTTTTAAACTATGTTGATGAAAGAAATATGTTTTTTGTGAGATCTTCTCAAATGTTTAAAGATGAATGGTTTTTTGTGAGAAAACTTAGAAATTGGGAATTTTTAAGAAAGATGTTGAAAATTTTTAGAATAAGTTGTTATATTTATTTTGTGTGCCAAAATAAATTATGTTTGAAAAGTGTTTATTTATTACATATAAATGATGGTTTTCCATGAAATAAGAGAATTATTGAAATTTTGAAAATTGTTGTTTAAAAGTGTTGATATAGTCTTGAAAGAACTAAGTTGTTAGAAATGTTTGAAATGTGGGAATTATGTTATCCCTATGATGAATTTAAATAAAAGTATTTATTTATCTTGTGAAATTGCATTGAAATGAGAAATGAGAATTTTGATCACAATGAGAATATTGTGTGGGAGTATTGAAAGTGAAAGAAATATTGCATTGCATTATTAATTATTGCATTGGCATATCAATTCATTTGATAATGAAGAGCTTTTAAATTTGATTTGAAAACTTTGCATATAGAAACGAATGTTGAGAAACAAGTTTTCATGAAATGATTTTGGGGTAAATACGGTGGTAAGTCTTAAAAAGTGATGTAGAGGATAGGTGTCGAGCCTTCTAGTTAATACTGGTAAAAATGACAGATTACAGGTGTCGAGCCTTCTAGTTAATACTTAGGGAGTTGCATTTATCGCCCTTTGAATAAAATTGATAAATGTTGGACAGTTACAATTGCATGACATCATTGAGCATGATGGTTTCCAAAAGATGAAGACGTGTTTTATTTTCAAAAAGACATGGCATAGCATGTGCATTCATCTCTTGAGACTTGTACAAAATGTATATACTTTGTTAAGGATTTCTTACTGGGCTTTATGCTCACCCTACGGGATTTTTGCGTAGGAAAAGATGTGGTGATTCCACCTAAGTAAAGGCGTGGAAGTGTGTGTGTTGAGAGTACAATACTCTCATTTTGCGTGACTCTGTTTTGTAAGCCAATGACTATATTTGTGTGGGTTTGAATAACAGATTTGTGTAATCGGGCCTAAGTCTTGGAAACTTACACTACAACAAGTTGGGCCTTGAGTGACGAAATTTTTTTGTCTTCAAAGAGCTAATTTCGTCACTATAGATATTTGTGAGGAAATATTTTCGTCACCGGTTTCGTCATTGAATGTTTGTCACTAAAAACCAACGTGACGAAAAATAATTTCGTCACCAATGAAATTACTTCAGCGACGAAATTTTTTGTCACCAATAAAACAACATTTTGTCGCCAAAAATTCTCATTTTCGTCACCAAATAGTTTTTCAATACCATATTTATAACTTTAGTTGACGAATAAATTTGTCACGCATGTTGATCATTGATGAGGAAATAATTTCGTCACAATAAGATGTAAAGATGACGAAATTTTTCGTCTTCAAAAGTCATAATTTTGTCACCAGCGAAAGGTTACACCCAACGAGAGGGTGTGGACTATGAGGAAACTTTT